CATATAGAATAAAGCCTATTAGACATTTTCTTCGAATTTTAATAGCTAAAAGATTTTTTGCTTGTTCATTTAATTTTATTTTGGGCCAGAAAGAATGAATTCAATTTTCAGATTCTCAAAGGTTTGAGAGTTTATTACATCCCTGTTATGGCATTAGCTGAAATTTTTCCGCAAGTTTATTATAAAACAATTATAATACTCTTCCGCTCCTTAATATAAGACATATTTAACTAATTTGATTAGATTGAGGAAGTTAGGTAAGTTAGTTAATTATAAGAAATGTGACACGTTTTTTCTAAAATACTATAATCATCTTTCTTAATACCCCCTCTTCCTCTTCTACTTAATTATGATTGAGGGAGTATTCATAGGGATAATTTAGAGAAAATTGATAAATATGAGAAATGGGTCTTATATTTAGGACCAAAATTAACTCAATAATTGGGTCCTATATTAAGGATAGGAGGAGTAGTTCACATATTTTGTCATCATTATTAACGCGAAATTTTTTCATTTATCTAAAATATGACATCATACGATAAAGACCGCCTCCTGCAACACACGGAAAAAGATCCTACTTGCATAATAAAACTTGTTTGGATAATTGGATGTTTCTTTCAATGAAACCTATTGGGAAAATTACAAACAAAGACCCTTTAATATATGAAATCATTATCTGTGACCCTAAATTTGGAAAATAGCCTCAGAAGACCTAATCCCAAATTGTAAATATGAAATCTTAGTGAAATGTCTGAAATATCCCTCAGTCAAATGACAAGTTGATGATAAGAAATGACAAATTCACTTTAGTAAATGATAAGTTCAGTAGACCAATTCACAACTTGGATGAAGGTATGCCAAATGACAAGGTGACTATGGGAAATGACAAATTCATTTTAGTGAATGACAACTTCAGTAGATCAAATAACAATTTAGCTAAAGGGCATTTCAGACATTTCACCAAGATTTCACATTTGCAACATGTGACCGGGTCTTTATTTGCTATTTTCCAAATTAAAAGTCCTAGATCGCAATTTCACATATTATGGGAGTCTTTATTTGCAATTTTCCCAAACTTATTTATATAAATATTTTTATTTTATTTTTAAAATTTTCTGTTACAATAAAACTATTAACAATTATAAAATTCAAGAAAAATTTTATCAAATAGTAAATCATGTAATAATAAAATATTTTTATTTATAAACAAATAGCGGATATTTATTATCCCTAGAATATAAATTAAATAATAATGTAAGTCTCAAATAAATTAATCAAACAAGAGTAGCGGCTACGTACATAATGTTATCACAAACCCTGATAAGAGCCAAATTATCAATAGATGAGTAAGGTATCTATCTGTAATTATATTTAATTTTGATATCTCTATTCTTTATTAAATAATATTTACAAAATATAATATGTATGTGTGCGCGTTTGTCCGAGGAGAGAGGGTCAGCAACCCTTTGTCACCCCATTAGGTATTTATTTGGCTTTACATGGAATTGGGGGACAAGCCTTTCTATCTGCCCCTTACCGTTACAAAACAACGCTCATAGGGTTAAGATGGTAAATTGCATCAAAGATTAGGATAAAAATTATGTAATATCTGCTGTAATTTATGTAATTGTTATTTAAAAATATTATTATACTCCTTCGATCCTTAATACAACACATATTTAACTAATTTGATTAGATTAAGAAAGTTAGATAAGTTAGTTAATTATAAGAAATATGACATATTTTTCCTAAAACACAATAACCATCTTTCTTAATATCTTCTCTTCTCCCTCTTCTACTTGATTATGGTTGAGCGAATATCTATAAGGATAATTTAGAAAAAATTGATAAATATGAGAAATATATCTTATATTTAGGATCAAAATTAACTTAATAATTAGGTCATATATTAAGGATTTGACGAGTATTTTATTTGGAGGTATATAATATATATTTTTCACATAAAAATTCATTTTTAAAGTCTTTGAAGTTTCTAGGAAGAATTACAATGCAGTCATAAGAAAGAAAAAAATTACAAAATAAGTATCAGAAGTTATCATTCTCTATTTTAAAATTTGTCATTACAAACTGTTTAGGTTGTTATTAAAAATTTTTAGTAATTACTTCTCTCGCTTATTATAATTCTGTCAAATTTCTATCTTATTTCATTCTACCTAACAAATGGGCTGTAGATGCCTCCGCCACTGTTGGTGGTAAAGTTTACCTAACGAGTGAAGCTGCCTATTGCCGTCCCCTTCCAAACTTCATCACGATATTATAATATATTTAAGTGAAAAAACAATTTTCCCCCAAAAATAAAGAATCACTAATTTCGCTGGCCAAAAAAATCACCTTAAATATCGTCAATCTAAAATTTTTATAAGTTCTGTTACTTCAAAACTACAAATAACTCATGTTTATCTTTAAAAATTAACGTGGTTCCTCGTCAACACACAAACTAATTTGTGATGCATAAATAGCATAATTTCTCAAGAGCAATAATGTTTTATCAAATTTTCTATTGTTACATGTATGTGTAAAGGAAATTTTCCCCATTAATTTATTCTCTGCAGTGGCTAAACTATTAAGGGGTGTAATATTTCCTTTAAGCATTTTAAATAACAACCTACTACCTCCCGTTCTTAACAAAAAAACTAGTTTGATTTTTAATTCCGTCTTTAGTGTAAGACCACAATCCATTTTGTCTTTTATATGTATCCATTTTTCCCAAGGCAGTTCTTGGAGTAATTACACATATTAAATATTTAATTAAATGACACTTGATTAGTAAGGATATTTTAAGTAAGACAGCACATATTTATTGTAAATAACTAACTTAATTAATTTTCTTAACTTATTCAAATTAGTCAACTAACTCTTATATTAAAAACTGGATGTAGTATTTAACTAATTTGATTAGATTAAAGAAGTTAGGTAAGTTAGTTAATTATAAAAAAAATATGACATGTTTTTTTTTAAAATATCACAATGATGGAGTATTAATATATATAATTTTTAAAAAATTAATAAATATAAAAAATAAATTTTATATTCGAGTCATTTATTAATTTTAGTCCGGAAAAAAAAAAGGGGAGGAGCAAAAAGAGGGGAAGGAAAAAAATGCGTCCGGAAACTGACACCCAGATCTGATTGAAAATGTGTTGGCGTAGCTTGGGAAGGCGATGACGGAGTAGAACTAGAAGCAAACCTTCAAACCTTCGTGGGTTTCGAACTTGTGACGCATTACTGATTTTGACTGCCCCACCCTCCATTTCTGTCCTTGAATTTGGCGTCCGTTTGGATCTCTTCTGCCACTACTGGCTTTATGATACCCCCCTTTTCTTCTGGCGCCGTCTCTGTCTCTTTGTTCTTTTGTATGATTGTATCTCCTTCTTGTTCCTCCAAGTCTCACTATAGACTCCGTGTCGGCCATGTTTTTGAGTAGAAACCCACTCCAAGGCCTATGAGGGCCATAATGAAGACCATTGTCAATAAATGGAGGATGGATCGATTGATGCTTCTGATTGCAGAACGCAGGACACAGAGTTGGTGGTTTTGTACGCGGAAGACGACGGAGATTCGAGAGTGGTTGAGTAAGAAGCGAGAAGGGAAAACGGAGATGACAAGGAAGAGAGTTTGGGCTTTCGAAGAGGGGAAACAGTACTGCTTCGTGTAATTAACGTAAGTATGGTTTAAAAAATAAAAGGAAAAAAATAAAATCCGTTCATCATCACTATTCAATTTTTTAGTCAATATCACGTGTTACGCCAAACTCTTCCCTAATAGTATAATTTTGAGGTTCTATTTTTATCTACCCAATGAGTTGACTGCTAAATTATTGCATTGATTTTTTTAGTTTGATAAAAATACCCCTGCTCATGAATATTAATTACTTAACCATCGTTTAATTACATATCTTTTTTCAAAATAATTTTAATGTTCATATATTTTTTCAATTTTATTGTTATATTATTAAATTGATTAATTTTGATCATATAATAAAGTTAATTAATTTTGTAATTCTAAAATTTTATTTTCCTAACAATTTAAAATGTTTAATCTTATTTATTTATTTCAGATTCATTATGATATAAATATTTTAAATACATAACTTGGCTGAAATTTTTTTTTTACAAAAATATATATTTTCAATTAAATTATAAGATTATAAAGTGATATAGTTTATACAATATTTCATCAAAATATCAATTTCATAATTTGAAAAATTGAAATATATTTCGTTAAACATATATTTGTCAAAAAAATTACTCAAATTTTTAATTTAGCTTTTAATCTTTTTTAGGTAAAAATTATTTACGTTTTTAAATTTAATAAAAGGTATTAAACGCTAACTAATAAACACCAAATAAAAGCTCAGTCAGTAAATTAAAGATTTATATTAATATGAGTAAATTAGTAAATAAATTTTATTTTAATATATCTTCATTTTAAATATAATTTTAGAATTTTTTAAAATATATTTTTTAATGTCATTAATAGTTTGAATTAAAATATATGCTTTCAAAATATAACGAATACCTAATATAAAAGATATAATGAATATCTGTATAACTAAAGCAAGAGGGAAGGAGAATTAAATTATTTTATTGAATAAAAGAACCTTAAAATATTTGTCAAAGATTGTGAGCTATACCCCACTCAACAAAAAGAAGAAATACAACATCTTTTCATATTTAAAGGGATATAGCGTTACTTAAAATTTTAAAATGTCCAGGGGAAAATACCATTTCACTTTAACATATATTCTTATGCCGTATTTTGGCTTCGTATTTAGTATATAATAAAAATAATTTTTTGCAAAAAAAAAAGCTACAGTTACATATAACAATTTGACAACGAACACTGACCCAAGAAAACAAAAATTCAGCGAAAAGATGCTGCCCAAATCTTACCATTCCCAAATTGCCCTGCGCACCCGATGTACGCCGTCGTCATCGCCCGCCTTCGTATATATGGAATTTCCCACTTGCAACCCGATCATATTCCCACTTCCGACTCTCCACCAACCCCTTCCGTCTCTCGCTCTCGTTGCCGGTTCTCATGGGTTCCGTTTCAAAGCTTTGCAATCCAAATCCGGCGGCTTCTATATCATCCAGGCCTAGGCCTAGCCCCAGATCTTCTCAGTCTCAACCCAAGTGTTTGATCGGTTTCCCAACTCCCACTACCTTCAATACCAAGCTCTCTTCTTCCTCATCCTCCCTGCGAAGCCATCTGCCTCAGTTCTCAAGGGGCTCTTTGGTGTAAGTGTTTTTGTTTTTCTTCTTGTGCTCGCTCCTTCGATTTAGACATATTATTTTCTTATTTCGATCTTTATTTTCGACCTTTTTCATTTTCAGTTCTATAGGCTATTTGCCCCTTAAAGAATAAAAACTGCGATGTGAGTTGAAATTTTTCAATTTATTGCCAAGAGTCTTGTCGATCATCTATTCCACGCTTGCCTCTTTTATTTGACTTTTACAGTGGATGGAGTTCCGGCTTCGAAATGATCATGCATGTTTGGAAACTCAGGAACTTAGGCTGTTTAAAATTGAGCTAATGAAACTTTGCGCTTATTGGTGTTTGCTTTTAGCCTTAATTAACCATCTCGGTTGCTCTTGTTGTAGCAACATTTCAGCTACCTCCCTGCGAAATGTCAACTTTAATATTGTGCACCTGATGTTATTGTTCATGTTGCAGCTTGAAACTGTTATATTTTAAATTCAATTTTTTCCTGTAATAAATTAATACGAAATCCTTTTCATTTTAACTATAAAATCTAAAGGAATGATCGTTCTCATGCATCCCTGCTGTGGAAATATGCTAGGATTAATTAATTAATATTAGCATATTTCCACAACTGCTGTGTCCTTCTCATTATTTTATAGTTGTAGAATACTCTGTATAATTCTTATAACTATTACGGTATTCTTGCAGAATCAGGTGCTCGCAAACTGATGGAAATGGAAGTCCTGCTAAGAGGACCGTGCTTCACGATCTCTATGAGAAAGAAGGTCAGAGTCCATGGTATGATAACCTGTGTCGACCTGTCACTGATCTCCTCCCTCTTATAGCAAGTGGTGTAAGAGGCGTAACTAGCAACCCAGCGGTAACTACCTTTTCTTTTTGTTTTTAATTCTCTTCTTTTTCTTCTTATTTGCTGGCATGCATGGATTTATTTTCCTCGTCTTCCAATCATTATTAATATGAGATTATCATAAAGTATCTGAGATTTTATATGGAATCTTAATTAGTTTGTTGTTACATATGTGTGACTGCAGATTTTTCAGAAAGCAATCTCATCTTCGAATGCTTACAATGACCAATTCAGGTAATGAAAAACGTTAGTGTTTCTAACTATTACTATATTTCTTCTTGCAGGCGTGATTCAGTTGCATAGCCTTTACTTGTAAGGCTGCCTTTTAGAGAATATCATTGTAGTGGACTGACCCCTGAACATGCTTCTCATGTTTGTCTTTCTAATGTTTTTGTGTAGATCGTTCAAAGTATTTGCAGTCTAAAAATGCAGTTAGTCTGGAATTGTAACTTACATAAACACTGCTCTTTGTATCCCATACTTTCATTGGCTCTGGGAAATAAAACTTCGGCCTTGTGCATATAATAATACTGTAGTTTTCATGATGTTGAGAGTATGATATATGCTGACGCTTGTGAAGAAAAAAAGGAGAAAAGATTGAAGGACTTCCTGGCATTGCAAATTATGACTACCTTATTAGCTTTACGGTCATACCCCCACCCCTCCCCCGCCCCCCCCCCCCAAAAAAAAAGAAAAAGAAAGAAAGAAAGAAAGAAAAGAAAAACAACGAAAAAAAAAAATCTATTTTGTATTATCATTATTGGTTTCTTTCGTTTGTAGTTTTAGTCTTGACTGCATATTATTCTTCAGCTCCCTTTGTTGGCCTTACTTCTGAAACCAAATTACTTGATCATGCAGGGAACTTGCGCAACAAGGGAAAGACATAGAGAGTGCTTATTGGGAACTTGTTGTGAAGGACATTCAAGACGCATGCAAATTGTTTGAGCCAATTTATGATCAAACTGATGGGGGTGATGGCTATGTTTCTGTTGAAGTATCTCCTAGGCTTGCTGATGATACTGAGGGGACTGTAGAGGCAGCAAAATGGCTTCATAAAGTGGTTGCCCGTCCTAATGTATACATAAAGATCCCAGCCACAGCTGCATGTGTTCCTTCAATCAAGGATGTTATTGCAAGTGGAATAAGTGTGAATGTGACTGTAAGTCTGCCATGTCCCTTTGTAGCGTGTACTTCTTACTATGTTTGGTATACTAATATCCAAGATGACCTGGTTCATCTTATCTAAGATATCATGGTGTCATAGGATTGAATCATTTTGTGTGGTACCTCTTGCCAATTAAAAAAGATGGATTCCACTCCTCTTTTAAGTAAATATTTCAATTTTCATATTAAACATGAACACGTCAATTACAAAAGTATCATATACCATAATACTCAAGATTAAAATGTGAGATAATATTGTACCAAAAGCTTCCTACATTTTATGTTGGTCTGGGTGGTTGACAGACGGAGTGAGAAGACGTGTTAAGTTTTAAAGCCCATTCTGAATTAATTTTATTGTGGCATCCTCTATGGGGCTGGTATAATCCGTTTGAATATTTGAGTAATCTTACATTTGAGAACTTTGATGAGTGTCATTTATCTTGATTGCTTTATCATGTCTATGAAGTCGGGCCATATGCTTACTTTCATTATTGTATTCACAGCTCATATTCTCTCTCGCAAGATATGAAGCGGTAATTGATGCTTACTTGGATGGTCTTGAGGCTTCTGGGCTAAGTGATCTCTCCAAAGTCACAAGTGTTGCCTCTTTCTTTGTCAGCCGAGTAGACACTCTCATTGATAAGATGCTAGAGAAGATTGGCACCCCTGAGTCCCTTGATCTGCGTGGAAAGGTAACTGCTTCTTGCTGATTAATTCTTTCCTATAATTCCTCGGTATATCAAATTTGCTCATGCTGTTCCACATGGTTTTAATAGGCGGCAGTAGCTCAAGCAGCCCTAGCGTACCAACTCTACCAGAAGAAATTCTCTGGTCCAAGGTGGGAGGCCCTTGTTAAAAAGGGTGCTAAGAAGCAGAGGCTTCTCTGGGCCTCAACCAGCGTCAAGAATCCTGCCTACCCTGATACTTTATACGTGGCTCCTCTTATTGGACCTGACACTGTAAGCCATGATATATTTTTCATCATCTCTCTCTTAGTAATTTCAGAATTGATTGTGTTGGCCAAAAAATAATGGAGTTTTATTGTGGAATTGTTCCATTGCCCAAGATGCAATCAGACCTATAACCTTTGATTGGTTTTCACGAGCTTGAAATCAGCTGTCTGTAATCATCAAGTTAAAATCTGTGGCATTACATAACATTGCCATTTTCCTTTGCAGGTATCAACCATGCCAGACCAAGCACTCCAAGCATTTATAGACCATGGCACTGTATCCAGGACAATTGATTCTAACGCATCTGAGGCTGAAGGGATATACAATGCTCTGGAGAAATTGGGAATTGACTGGAGCTTTGTTGGCTCCCAACTTGAAGTCGAAGGAGTGGAAGCTTTTAAGAAGAGCTTCGACAGCCTACTTGATACCCTGCAAGAGAAAGCGAACTCTCTCAAACTGGTCAGCCTGTAAGGTAAGCCTTGTGGTTTGCATTTATGATGTCCCTTAAGGGTTAATAAAGGTAGTGGCTTGTCTCTGTCAGTTCTGCTGCAAATGCGCTTTGCGAGTGCTTTCTAGATTTCGATGGAAATAATATGAAATTGGATGTTGGATATTATCATTAGTCAAATTATGGATCGTGTTGCTCTATGCTGACAATTTTAAATGAAGTCTTTTGTTTTCATACCCCCATTTTTTGTTTGTTGTCTATGTATCATTCTTAACAAATCCTGAACGTCGTTGTCTGTTAAAGCATCGTCAAACTTTGGGTTATAAATTGCTTGTATCTTTTGTTAGATTTTTCTTTGGCCAACTTCAGCTATTAACAACTAGTCTATACACCCTAAAGTCACTTTCAAAAAGCTAATCCAAGTACTTCATGTTTTTTATCAATTGAAGTTAAATTAGTGTCATATCATTTAGTTTGGGTATATAGGCTTTCGCGACTAAAGTCTTAACACTAGCCTAAATATGCACTAAATTGTAGTAGTCTAATACTGTCCAGTCACAAAATATGTAAGCAAAGGTAAAATTTGATGATGTTGGGGTTGATGTGCAATTCACCTCATGTCATTTTCAAACAATCCAATTGCTTTCCATAAGGGATTTTGTTTTTTCGGGAAAAAAAAAAACCCGCAAAATTTTCCCCACTGTTTATTTTGGTGCGATTGGAACTCGCATGGACGAACGCAAATATTTGGCCATTAATTGACTTGATTATGCTTATGTGGCATGTCGCATGGCATCCACATCATTTTCTTTCCCCTCATTGCCTAACCCGCTGGCTAGAAAAGCTTGAATTGGATTCCATGCCTACGTCTAAGTAATTGGCTCAATTCCAAAGAAGTCACGGCTTTGTCGTTGCATCTCTACGCCATCTTTCTTGTTGCCTCCTCGACCTTCAGGCCCTACCTCCAAGGCTGATTTTGCCATTGCCAGCTTTACCCTCTTCTTCTGTACACCAATGACCGCCCTTTTTTACTTGTTGCCCTCCCGTGACTGCTCACCTTTCATCCTCTAGTGACAAAATTTCACAATCTCTATTGTCAACTTTGATTTCACATTTTCTAGTAATGGCGTTTCACAATCTCCTTCGCTCTTCCTCATGCCATCCTATTTCGTGTGGCATTGAAACCTGAGTTAACATTGATCTTCCTCAGCCATAATTTGCTTACGTTGTCGCATGAGTTAGGTTCTCTAGCACCAGTCTTCTTCCTACCTTTGCGACCTCAGCCGCCATCAGATATGGGTTCCTTTAAATGGTAGAATACCTAGTAAGGGTTGATCTAGGTGCCTTCTTTGAGTTTCCCATCCGTGTTCCGTGAGAGTGAGGGTTAGGAGTTGGCTGCATTAATAGCCTTCATACGTGAAAGAATGTGCCCCTTTTTGCCAGAAAGAATATGCCAGTTTGATTGTCACCGTTTTTGTGCAACTATAAGCATATCATTGAGCTCTTTAATATAATATGCAAATAATATCATGATCAATGAGCTCCCTACTCTGAATCTTTAAATATGTAGTTCCCATTTGAATCCGAGTATGAAGCATACAATGTGTTACCAATAATATAGGTGAAGTTTGAGGCTGCCTATTTTCAATTTCCAGTTATCACATTTATGTGAATACACTAATAATAAAAGTAAAAATAAAAATAAAAATCAACAATCATCCAACTTTCAAACCTCACTGAACATATGTACGTGGAAAACGATGCAAGCCAGTTCCATCTTTGATGCAAGTTCTACAGGTACCTACTAAAGCTACCTTGCAGTAAACTACATCTATGTATAATAACTCAAACGAAAGTATCAAAGGCAAATGATGACATATCACATTGATCATGATTCAAATGATAAAATAGGTATCCATCTTGTTGCGAGCGTCTCGTTGAAGTAACTTGCAATATTGAGTAAGTTATGATAAATTAAGGAGCTGGTTTTATTCATTAGGGCTTGTGAGCAAAATGAAACAGCTTATATACATACTCTAAACCCTACTAATCTTGCAAATAACTTTTCAAGAAGCACAAAACAATTGCATTGCATAGTGTCTACAAAAATATTCGACTGTGCTTGTAATAAAAAAGGAGTTGACCATGCCTTGAAGCTTTTCTATTCCTGTCCTATTTATAAAATCTCAAAATTTGAATTGGTTTAGTTCTTGTATGATCTTTGTAACGTACTGGTAAAAAAAAAAAAATCAAAATCAATTAATTAAAATAATATAATATTATTATATTATAAAATATATATATATATATATATATACACCCAGCTTTCCACCGACTTCGGTGGAAAAGCTGGGCATAATCAAGAACAAAGAAAACATGGGCGCAAGAATTAATTGGAGGAAGAAATAAGGGGGTGGCATTAAATTGAAGAAGGTAAAATGGGGGATGAGGTAGTTAGATGGTGAAGGGAAAATAGGATAAAAGAGGGGGAGAGGAGACGGAGGAGGAAGAGAGAGTGAAGGAAGAGAGAAGAGAGTGAGAAGCGGAGAGGAAAAGAGAGAGAAAGCTAAATTACAGAGTACCTGACGGTTTTGGAGATTATTTAAGTACACAAACCTACTTCTTGTTATCCTATTTTCTTTATGAATATTTCCTATATATTTATATCTTTATATTATTAGTTTCATTATCATGTTTAGAGAAAATTTTACTGTTTGGGTATAGAGTAAATATGGAGTTTTGACAATATATGACCGTAGAAATTTAAAGATACATTATTAAGGAATTTTAATCAATTTATTTTTGTTGAATGATTATTTTGAGAATTTTAAACTAAGATTTTAGTTGAAAAGTTTGTTATTTAGACTTGTAATATGTTTTTACCGATTAAATTTGAGTTAAATAATTTATTTGAGTTATTTAATATATTATTGAGGTTTTAATCGGTTTAAATATTGAATAGGTTAAATATATATTTTGAAATAATTTTTGAAGGCTTGAAAAATTATAAATTGAGAATTTTGTGAAATTAAATAAAGCTACAGTTTGCTTATAATTTAAAAAGAAGTTGTTTGGTTTGAGGAAAAATTTTAAATGAGATTATAATAAATAATTGAGAATTTTAATATAAAATATTTAGATTTTGGGTAATAAAAATATATATATTTATACTTTTGTTAAATTTAAATAGCCTTATATGTAAATTATTTCAAAATAATATCTATTATAAATGCCTAGATTTGGGAGAGTTAATATATTTATGTAATTTTGGTTTAGAGGGTAGTCTTAGAATTTTAGAGTAGCTTTGGAGTAGTTCTGAGTTTATATTAATAAATATTTATGTGCAATTTTGTAGACTTGAGAATTTTGGAGTAATCTTAGTGTGAATTTTTGTAAGCTAAAGAGTACCAGGTAACTCTGAAAATTCTTTCTTGTATATGTGAATTGTGTATGATTATATCGTGGATTTACTAGTCATTATATTACTAAAATATAATATTATGATTTTTTTTTTGTAAAATAAATGTTTTGGTATGTTACGTGATTTTATTAAGATTTGTTGCTAGTAATTATGATCAGTATTTAAATCTATTAATAGCTATGAAATTATCATGAATTGCTATTAAATGGTATATAAGTTTTATTGCTATCTTATTTTTAATATATTTGAGGAAGTATTTATGATGTAACATTGTTGGCATCTGACATGCATTGTTGCGCTAAGGATAGAAGGAGATTGCATGGATATAAAATTACCACGTGGTATGCCATCACTCGGTGCACAGTGGATGGCACTTGTCAGGGCCCCTTCTTCCATGTTTTCCTTTGGCCGGGAATTCATTGAAGCTGTGGGACATGTGACACCTCCCTATTCACAAAGGAGGGGAGCCATAGTCCGAGCTTGAGCTCTATATCTTTGGCCGGATATATCTCTTGTATCGGTGAGCTTGGAATAATTCAGTAAAATGGATTAGTTCCTATCAGACTATGTGTTAGCCTATGGCTCCAGTCAGCGGTATAAGGGTGGACGGTGATATAAGGGAGGCAACATATTGCATTATTTTTGGATATATTAGAAAAATGATATTGGTATATTGTTGAAAAAAATGAAATTGAATTGAATGTCTCAAATCCGTGATTTTTGATAAATTTATATACACACATATAAACAGATTTTTGGTTTATCATATGTGATTTGCTTTTATAGGTTAGAATTTCAGTAGTTACTGAGACGTTTGATCTCACCCCCTATATTAACAATTTTTCAGGCGAAGGATCTAGTAGGAATCAAGGGAAGGCACCAATGGAGTGAGCCGTGAAGGCTTTTGTGCTCCTCAAGCACATACTATGTTATATTTTTATTTGCCATGACTATAAGACTTTAATAGTTTATGTTATTAAGTTATGTTAGAAATGTTTTGAAATTTTGACTTAACTGCAGTATTAAAAATATGTATGGACTTTTAAATTAGATATTTTACTGCGTATATTGATATAATTATGTGAGGTGTTACAATCTTACTAAGGATTGCCTGAACATTGAACATTAAATGCACTCCTACACATTTTGCTGTCAATTAATTCTATTCTCTTTCGTCCTTTATTTCATAACCACTATTTCTTTCTCTTATTTACTTCCTCATTAAATAAAAACATACTTGGAAAAAAAGAATTTTAATTTTTACATATTTATTACTTTTAACTAATTTTAATTGTTTTCTTAAACCATATATATTAGTTAATGATCTTATAAAAAAGACCAAAGGGAGTAATATATTGGGATGGTAGCTACCTTCGAGACAATAGAAAGCATAAATGAACTGAACTATCACAGGCTTAATTACTCGGGACTTAGATTCTCTTCACTACCCTTTCCATCCTCTTCCTCTCCACTACCATCCTTTTCCCTCAACAACCATTAAATCAAAACTCCAAGGGTCCAGATTTAATATTTTATAACATTTTATAAAAATAAGTATTATTATTAAAAATAGATAAATAAATTTAAAATGCTAAAATTTGATTTGATAATTTCATAGTTGCAGACTTTAATTATAGAGCAAATTTTTTTCAATTTTTTTATTGCATTGTGAACTGTTCAAACTAGAGTTTAACAGTTTAAATTTATTTTTTTAATAGCATTATTTTTGTGAACACCCAATTTTGTCCGAGCCCCACAAAAAATATTAAATGTAAACAAAATTAAAGAAGAAAAAGAATAATAAAATATTAACATCCTCCT